CAAACCACAGCCGGCCAGCACACAGAAAAGCAAAGTGCAAGAAGCACCAAGCCAGACCAGGTCCCCAAAGCTGTTCCTAGCCCCGTGCGGGAAAGCAAGACCCCCGCTGCGTTGTACTGCCGTTTAAATGTCGCTCCCAGGGTCCCTGACCCTCCGCTTCCTACTTCTAAACTGATACCGAGAGTTTGCTCTTCCCAGAAAAGGCAGAGCCCGGGCTTCTGCACTCCCCTCTGAAGAGCCCAGCGCCCAGAAGCCGGCAACGCTGAGGTCCCTTTGGGTACTCAAACATGGACAGGCTGCCTTCACGGTTCTATGTTTTATTTGTTCAAGTCACTACCTTATAATTCATAAGTATCTGAACCAAAAAACCCAGCAGTGACCGAGGTCACGCAAGTCGGCTGACCGAGAATTCCTTCCCAGCCCTGACAGACTGGGACAAACCTTTCAGGACACTAACGCGTTTATTTCACGCAGGCGTAGCCCCTTCCTAAATGGAGGGGGATTAAATTCAACCGTGAAACCTGTTTTGTCGAAGCAACCCCTAAACGCGGATTATTTATTGCCCAAAGCTAGCACATTTTCAACGTGCTATGAGCTATCTTTGAAATCAGTGATTTTCTCCAGCGAGCTGAACCAGGCGCCTAACTTCTCCCCAAAAGCCACCCGTACAGGCACACGCACACGCGTGTCTGTGCCTGCGGGTACGTAACACGAACGCAGCACATTTTACTACAGCAGCCTGAGCTTCATATTTTGGTGCGAGGGAAACCCTGTCAGATTTTTTTCTGCTCGCGCTGATAGCACGGCGAATACCAACACTTCACACAGTCAATACAGTCTCTTAACCAGGACAATATATATTTACACATTGACACACGGAACGACTAAACGTAAAATACACGGAGATAACACTCGCTAGAAGTAAACACTGCCAGCCAACCGATTATTTAGAGGCCTTAAACGGGTTATGTCCAAATGAAGAAAAACAGAAGTGCATTCTCCTGCTAAGAATCAGCTACATTATCAAAAATCTATAAAGGCAATAGCTATCAAACCTTGCTCGACAGGTCCCTAACAGAAAATACATACATAAAAAATAGAAGCATCGCTCGGGTAGGTTTGTGTACTTTGCACCCATCTCCTCTCAGAAAACTCTCTCGTCAGGAATAAAGCAGCCGTCATTCTACATCTTCACCTATTATCAGTCAGAGCCACTTTTACTATCGAGCCTGTTATGACTCTTTCGCTTAAGAATGGCCACATACGTTTTAAAGGAGGGACGGTGCTTCTTTCAGAGAAGGCACACGGAGCTCAAATATCTGTGCCCAGCTCGCTGCAGCGAGGGGAGACCTGAATATTGGCAGTACAGTGCAAAAGGACCCCGATCCCTTAAATCGCCTCCCTGGAACTAGGTGAAGGACACTATCCGCCTACTTATAAAATACACTAAAATGTTAATTTTGTACTATCTAAGCGATCAGGTAGGTCAACCCTCCGTGTTTCTGGCAAACTGCAACACAAGTCTGTCTCAGTTTCCAGGACGCCACTCAAAGTAGTTTCACTGGACTGCATTTCCAGAATCTCCCTGGTCTTTGGGACAGTCCCATAAAATTAGTTGCTCTGACCACTACGGACTACGCAAAAAATCCTTTTAATGCCAAGCTTGCAAATGAGCACACACGCCCAGGTTTTCCTCAACTTTTCTGGAGAGCGGAGGAGGGAATCAAAGTTTCTAGAGGCTGAAAAGTGACCGTCTCACTTTTACAGAAGTGCGATTTTTCTGCTTATTTTTACCTGATTACATGCAAATATTTACAGTAAACACAGAGAAACATCCCGCGTTATATATTGCCAAGGCCATACAATTACAAAAACGTACACCAGCAACTTTCCAGTGCTGCCCATCAGCAGCACGAGGAGCCCACTCGTGACATCTTTAAGATCTGACAAAGGATTTCATGTAAATCTACCCTTCCCGGGCTCAGGAGGAAAAAAAATACCAATCAGAGAAAAGAAATTCAAAAAACCCCCTGCGTCCCACAGACACATCACCTTTGCTCCAAAGGCTCCAGCAAACCGCACGCCCCAGCTCCCCAAGACCGCAGCCAAACTGCTATCCTTACCCCCAAAAAAAGTTATCGCTCGGTGTCGGCCACCCCTTTCCTCTCCCAGCAGGCACAAACCCCCAAACTTTAACATTTAGAGCAGAAATGTAAGAGGAGGCATTGGAAACAACTGGGAACCGCCATCTTACAACCCATCCAATTTCACACAAGTACTTGTCCAACTTAAGTTAATAACATTTTCTGCTGGGTGCCCCGACGCCTAACAACCCCTCCAGGAGGATCGCTACCCCCCGCTGGCTCTATCTCTATAAAATGGGTGCGTTATCTGACATTTTAACCTCCCCCAGACACATTTCTTTCGGGGAGGACTGAAATCACTTGACCCAGGCAGCTCCAGATTTCACGAACGTCCCTGTTTAATCAAAATCTGCCTTTAAACAAAGGGCGCTCAGGCCGGGCTGGCAGCAGGGTCTGGAAATATAAATATTCTCCTCGGGGGCCATGTGCACAGAAAGGTTTTAGGGGGCGTCTGGAGAAAGAAAGGAACTAAAATTTGCAAATGTGGGTGCGTAACGCGAGCGAGTGCACAGGCTGCTGCTGCTGCTGCGTGTCTATATGTGTGTGTGTGTGGCTGGAGCAGCCTGTCAGCGCTTTTCCCATACGGAGAGCTCGGGGGACACCTAGGCTCCCCTTTGCAGCCCCCAAACCGGCCGAAAACCGCCGCCGAGCCCCCTTCGCCCCCCGCCCTTGGTAAGGCGACACCTCGCTTCATACGTACCCGGAAAACGGAGCCGGTGGGTGATGATCGGAGCGGCCAAAAAAGACAATGAAAGTTAAAAGTCGTTCAGCAGAAAATGAATGTGAGCCAAGCGGCCATCTTGAAATGAACTGCAGACGCTGTCAATTGCAATAAGCTTATTGCCGCCGCCGCCGCTGCGCTCCGCTCATTTTAGTTACAAAACACCCGGGTTTTCTCCTCGCGTCCACCGGCCCTTCTCGCTCCCTCGCTCTCCCTCCGAGTTCGCCGCCCGGGCGGCTCAGGCGCTGGGAGCGCAAAGTCTCCCCGGTCCGGATGGGTCCTCTCTCCACCAGCCCATTGTCTCTCCCTCTGCCCCCCGCTCCGCCTCGCGGCCTCGCTCGCGTTCCTTTTTTTATTATTATTATTATTATTACGAGTATTATTGTTGTTGTTATTTCATAGTTGGTGGCGGGGACCCGGGGAGGGA